ATTGGATGAATGGATTGAATTTAAGGAAGTCTTACCTAAACATTTAGATAAAATATTGCACAAAGTTAATAAAGCCTTTAGTTGTTAGAGATCAAAATAGAAAAAGTGTGTTCTGGTTGTTTCATGTATTTGTGATTTTTAAACTCAGCTAGCTTTTACGTGCATGTGTGTTTAATACCCCGTATTAAATTTAGAGACATTTACCTTAAGAAATGATTTTTCTTTAAACACAGTACCTCTAATAAGAAGATTCTAATATCCCAGAGAAAGCCTCTCTACATAACAACCTGCATAAACCCTTAGCAACAACAAAATAAAATATCACCAAGAATAGCAGAGTATAGCAATCTTATGTAACATCAACCAAATCCCTTCAAACTAAAAGCACAAAATTACTACAAAAAACTAGTTTGGAAACATAGCAATTTCAAATTAAATGACAACTTTTTAGCAATTGAAACATCTTGCCTTTATTATTTATCCAATTATGATGTAACACTACTTTCTGAGAAGGAAGACAATTTCTCCTCTCCACACATCATTGTGCTCTTCTCCAAATGATGACATGTGCTCATGATACCATGAACTTTAAGTTCCTGCTACAAACAGAGAAATTAATTCATATGTCCCAAATTTTATAGAGAATATAAGTGATTTACCTAGGGTTTTTTCCAAGTTTTAGATGTAGCGAGATTGAAAAAGTCAGCTCGATCAATCTAAGTCTGCTCGATCTGATTGTGCTTACATTTAAGCCAAACTAAAAGCCTGCAGATTTTAATACAGAAAAATAGATAAAAATTTTGCCATGAAATATAGTCATACAAAGCACGAAATTGAAATTGTATTTATGCATCTAATAAGTGATTCAAGAGTTTAGATAACAGTTGTGCAGCAACTTACAAGATAAAGACCGAAAAACACTAAACTTTAAAAAACGCTTTAGAAAAGAAATGAATAATGGTGACTAAAAGTTGAATTGAATTACCTTGATCGAGAAAGAAAGTAATAGCGGGACACTGCTAGAAATTTAGCAAGCGAGATATCACGACGTAAGACTGAAATTGCTTTTATGTAGCAAAATTAGTCAAGAATCTAAAAACGATTATATATACAGAGCATATATATACACATACATACATCACTTAAAAAGCTCAAGGCACTAAAGATTACAAGAAAAAAACTTAAACCCATATTAGAACAATAAAAACTAAAGATTGATATAACCTGGAAGAAAGAGAAGATCGACTGATCGAATGATTGAGACTGAGAATCGAGAAGAACAGTCTGGCCGGCGATTAATTATTGTTGGCTACTTTTTCCCAAAATTAATTGGGGAGAATTCGACTGATTTCGATCGAAGCTCATGAATGCTCTCTGCACCGCAGCTTATTCCATAGAGGACCAGGCGTTTAGGATTAGGTCTCTAGGTTTTCATTTAGCGGAACGACTAATGAGAGGGCAGGAAAGATCAAGTGAATGATTTAGAAGGAGATTAGGGTTGAAATTTTGGCGTCGTGCTTAATTTTTTAAATTATACCCCGTAGTACTTATTACTCCGTATTATTCAGATTAGTTCTTTATAAAGAATTATTTTAAAAAAAAATACCAAAAGCAAATTAATGAGTAATAACGAGTTTTTTCCCGGAATAATGTTAAATAAATAAATAATTCCCAAAATACTGTTGGGTTAAGAATAATTCCGAAAATACTGCTGGGTTAACCACGGTTAAAGTAAGCCGCCACTCGAAGTGGCGGCTTTTGTGAAGATGTACAAAAGCCGCCACTTCGAGTGGCGTCTCTTGTACTTCTGTACAAAAGCCGCCACTTCGAGTGGCGGCTCATTTATCAGCACTAAAACCCCCTTCTTCCCAATCGACGGAAACGACAGACGAACTCCAACCCCTCTGCAGCGACCGACGAAGGCTAACATCTCCTCGGATTCCGGCCAGATTTCGTCCAAACGAAGCTCAAATCAAAGGGAAAAGACTCGTCGTGTACCTGAGGTCGTTTGTACTCCATTCCTGCGAGTTGCTACAGCTTGAATAGAGGTATTCTACCATTTTTGCTAAACCTAGGTTTTTTTATTTTTTTGTTCGAAATTACTTGGTTTTTTAATTAGTTTCTTTGTATTTGATGTTGTGAAATGTATAAGTTCTTAATGTAGTTATTATTATGATTGACTTTATATGATTTGTTAAATGTGAATGATACCAACGTAACTTCCACCTATTTTTGCTAAAGCTAGGTTTTTTAGGTATTGCTCCAAATAGCTTGAAATTGTTATTGTTTTGTTGAAAATTGTTGTTGTTTTGCTTGAAGTTGTTGTTGTTTACAGGTTTATTAACAGATTTTGATTTTACTTTAACTAATTAAATAATGGTAATTAATCATGTGTTAATTTGTTGCCTTTTCATCAGTCCGCATTTTTAACCCGGTTAATTATTATGAGTCCTTATTTAATGGTATGAAATCGTAATATGTATCTACGATCTAATAATTTTCATTTGAATTATAGTAATTGTATTTGAATTTTCAAATAGCGGCATATGTCATACTTTTTTTGGGATGATTTTTTCATAGAATATGTCTACAAACTTCTCCATTATTTGTCAATGGGGAGGAAATATTATCGAGGAGTCAAACGGAGTTCATTATGAAGGAGGGATTCAGAAGATAATTGTTGTTTCCCGTGGGGTGGCTCTTGCTGAAATAATGAATAAAATTTATGCTGCCACATCCATCAATCGTATGAACAAGCTGGATTTGAAGGTTAAATATCCCATGCATGGTGGATCATACATGTTGATGCCTCTTGCTGACGATGAAGCCGTTATAGGAATGTGGACTGTAATCGAGAATCTTAATATGCATACCATGGAGATATATGTTGAAGAAGTGGCGGTGTTGCCCTTACAACCCAACCACCCGCCATTGTCTTGCCCATCCACAAGTGTTCCAGTTGTGATGAATATGGTTACACAGGAGAACGGAAGATACGTGAATAGTGATGCAACGTTTCTGGATTCACAGTACAATGATGATGATGCAGATGAAAATGCGAACAATGACACACTAACAGATTCTGATGAAGATGGTGGTGATCTCGTTAGTGGCAATGCACCATCCAGCCACTACACTAAAGTTTATGAGCTCCCTGCGGGATTTGATGAATCATGGAAGAGTGGTACAACTTCTAGTCGTTTCTCTGCAGACAGTGAATTTGAGGTTGGGCAAGAGTTTGATGATAAAAAACAACTGATCAACATGGTTAGAGCATACTCTGTAAAGAGGAACCAATTTTTCACAGTTGTAGAGTCTGACAAATACAAATGGGTGGCAGAGTGTAAGAGGAGAAAAGATTGTGGTTGTACTTGGCGGATCCGGGCTACTAAGAAACATGAGAGGCTAGATATGTTCAAAATTGTTCGTTATGCAGGTCCTCATATACCTACTTGTGTAGGTAACGTCGATAACAATGACCATGTTGGTATCACATCTCAGTTCATAGCCCATGAAATCATTGATCTTCTTTGTACCGATCCATCACTAAAAGTCTGCACTATTAGTCAGCTTATGAAGGAAAGGTACGGCTATATACCTTCGTATAAGCGAAGTTGGTTGGCTAAACAAAAAGCCATCGGTGAAATATTCGGAGATTGGGAGGCGTCGTATTCTGAATTGCCTCATTTCATGTTGGCATTACAACATTCCAATCCAGGGACAGTCGTGCATTGGTACCCACCTCTTTCAGGTACCAATGAGTTATTAATATCATTATTGTATCACATTATATTTAATTAGAAATTTGTCCTCTTAATTTTCTCCATCTTTCAGGTACCACTGAAATTCAGCAGTTTCAAAGAGTTTTTTGGGCATTTAAGCCATCCATTAAGGGCTTTAAACATTGTCGTCCCTTACTAACCATCGATGGAACACACTTATACGGGAAGTATAAAGGTACATTGTTGGTGGCAATGGGTAGTGATGCTAATAATCAACTGTTCCCTTTGGCGTTTGCTATCTGTGAATCGGAGAATGGAGAGAGTTGGCCGTGGTTTATGGCGTGCATACGTCATTTTATCACACGGAGAGAATTGTGTGTTATTTCAGATCGACATGCTGGAATTATGAAGGCTTTTATTGAGGTAGGTGGTGGATGGGAGGAGCTAGATGCACGACATAGGCTTTGCATACAACATGTCGCTTCTAATCTGCATACTCAATTTAAAGACATTCACTTGAAGAATCTGTTCATTTGGACAGCAAGTCAACGTCAAAAGAAAAAATTTGATGGTGGATTTAACAAGATAGGCGAAATGCAGGCACAAGCACGAGAATATCTAGCGAACATTGGTTTGGAGAAGTGGTCTTTACACCACGACGGGGGGTACAGGTATGGCACCACAACAACGAACATGGCTGAAGTATTCAATAGTGTCATGAAGAGTGCACGATACCTGCCTGTAACCGCGTTAGTTGAGTTATCATTTTATCGTGTGAATGCTTATTTTGTGGAAAGAAGAGAAACTAGTAAGAGAAGATTAGCAGAAGGGCATCGCTACTGCCAGCAAGTGACCGAACTGATAGAGAAAAATACGGAAAAGGCAAAGCATCACAAGGTCACAATATTTGACATAGGCCACGGTTTATACCAAGTGGAGACCGGTCGTGGTGGACGAACCGTGGGGAAGGGTGGCAGAAAACAAACGGTAAATTTGCACCGTCGCCATTGCACATGTCAGAAGCTGAATATTTATAAGATTCCTTGCTCACATATATTAGCGGTATGCAGACACCGTAGTTTGTCCTATGATGCTTTTGTTGATAAATTTTTTTCTTCATCGGAGTACGCGACTTCCTATAAAAGAGTATTTAAGCCCATACCGGATATAGCATACCGACCAACTTACACTGGACCACGAGTTGTGCATGATCCATCAATGATTCGCGCTAAAGGTCGTCCGAAGGCTAAACGATTGAGAAATGAAATGGATGAAGGCCCTAAAGGTACTGTGAGATGCGGTAAATGCAAGCAAATAGGGCATAACAGGACGACATGTGCTAGAAGATCAGAGGGAAACGTAGGGAGTTCCACTGGGTAATGTTGTTCTTTTATTCGCAAATGCATTAGCAACATAAAAAAAAAAATTTAATTTAATAAAAAAATTAAGTAACTAATGCAACTATTACTTTTACAGCGCCGATGCAGGTGTCAGTGGATCCCGGACCGATTGATCCTTCAGTCCTGACATTGCAGGCCACGCACCGGAGCGAGGATGTGTGGCGTGGCCTGGATGTTCAGGTAGATAGGTGTCGTGAGCACACACGCAGTATATTCCACATGGGGGTGGACGATAGGATTCTACATTATGTTCGTTTAGCTGGGTTTTATGGTGTTCACAGATTGGTTTCGACTCTGCATATAGATAGAGCATTACTTACCGCTCTACTTGAGCGTTGGAGACAGGAGACTCACACATTCCATTTACCGGTGGGTGAGGTCACGATCACATTAGGAGATGTGGCTGTATTGGCAGGTCTACCGATCGAGGGTCGGGCAGTTACTGGGACTGCATGTAGACTGTGGGTTGATTTGGTACACAGATTGTTGGGAGTACGGCCACACCCAGGGACAGATATTTGGGGGTCCGCCTTGAGGATGGCTTGGTTGAGAGAGCATTTTGATGGTTTACCTGCTGATGCTGATGACGATGTTGTGCAGCAGTACGCGAGAGCCTACATTCTGATGCTTATGGGAGCTTCCACGTTTGCGGACAAGAGTGGGAATGAGGTGCAAGTCTTGTATTTACCCATTCTGGAGTCTTTTGATGTAGCTGCAGTGTATAGCTGGGGTAGTGCCACTTTAGCATACCTATATCGGCAGTTATGTCGAGGTTGCCATCGTGACGGTGGAGAGATGGGTGGGTTTGTATTGCTCATACAGCTATGGTCGTGGGAGCACATTCATATAGGCAGACCTGTCATTCTGCGATATCATGGGGTACATGCCGGTCCTCTTGATGATGATATGGATCAGCACGCTTTACTTGGGCCACATCACGTTCGTGGCGATGATCCTTTGGGTCGTAGGTATGTATATGATTTTTTTTTGTATGATGTACGTGAATCCCTTTTATATTCTTATACATTAAAATGTGTCAGATGGTTATTTGCTCATGTCACGCGCACATCATCCGCTGCTGGATTAGGATACTACCGAGATGCTTTAGATCGCTTGTGTGATGATCAGGTATATCATTTATATCATTAAATGTAAGTACTTTGTTTTATGTTTTCATAAACCATGGTCTAACATAATTTTATATTATAGATGACGTGGATGTCGTACACTGATGAGATTCTAGGGCTTTTACCTGCTGTTGCCCGAGAGCACACTGACATATGGCGAGCACGTGTGCCTTTGATATGTTTTGATGTAGTGGAGCATTACTTTCCTGATCGCGTACTACGCCAGTTTGGGTTGCAGCAGGTTACTCCCGGACCTTGTGATACATCTGTGGATTTGCACAAGATTGATAGACGGGGGAAGCACACTGAAGATTGGGGGATGCGCCATATTCAGTATATCACTATGTGGGATGATAGAGCGGCGTATATAGTGGACGGGATCCCATCTTTAGTCCCCACAGCTTCTGTAGACTACATGAGATGGTATTACACCATCACACGGGTGTTTATCTCTCCCAGTTTTCGTTTACCCACTGATCATTACCAGCCTAGCTCAGTCGCTCTTCATATGACGGTAAACAATATAGTCAATGAAATATCTTTATTTATTTATTCATGTGTTTTTCACTAATAACCATGTTTGCATTACAGACACGGGCTTTGCGTAGCATCCATGACAGAGCGACTGCTATACTTGATGAGGCAGTAGATGTACAGGGATACCATGACGCTTGTTCAGGCATTGTTTCACTGTGCGCTGATGTATTGGGTCGAGTCGATTATGGATATATGGCCGCGTCTCAGCATTCCACTGCATCTACATCCGCAGCAGGGTCTTCTCAGGCAGTCCGACGTGATAGAGTTGTTCTTCAGCCTCGTAACCAGCGCAGACGTCCCCGAGCACAACTACATGAACTTCATGATGATGATGATGATCACGTTGAGTTATGATATTTGTATTTCACTTATTGTGTGAAAGTTGTAGTATGCACTAGCAGATCGAATTATTTTGTGATACACCAGATTTATTATAACTTTTATGGTTCATACTCAATTTTGTGGTGTATTGATTCCGTTTGTGAAAGTCTCATAATATGAAGTTTCATTCATTCGTTTTGTGTTTTGGATGTATGTTGTAATGTAGTTTCATTGATTCGTTTTGTGTTTCGGGTGTATGCTGTCTAAGTAAATCATATGTTTGGTTTTTTTTTTTTTTTCTGGAATGGACTGTGAGTCTCTGATGAGCAAATAATCTGGTTATTATAGGTTATTACAGGTTTAGTTGTTTAAATTAATGCTGCAGCAGGTATCTTAACACAAAAGCCGCCACTTCAAGTGGCGGTTTTTATACAGCGGTACAAGAGCCGCCACTCCAACTGGCGGCTTTTGTAAAGCTTCACAAGAGCCGCCACTTGAAGTGGCGGCTTTTCTTAACCGTGGTTAACCCCAGCAGTATTTTGGGAATTATTCTTAACCCGGCAGTATTTTGGGAATTATTTATTTAATTAGCATTATTCCGGGAAAAAACTCAAGATTTGAAGTCGATCCGAAACTTCGTCATACATCAAATTAGTAAATTCATGATTCACTGGTGTTGGGCGAATATTAATTCAAAGGGGGGTGAAAAGTTACAAGATCTTGGACTATTACCTCAAAATTTCAGGAAGATGAGACCTCAAACTTTTCGGTAGAAGCGACTGGAGGAATCCCAGGTGAAACTCAACTGAGGCGATTTTTTGACAAAATGGGAAGACGGCTGCCGGTTTCCTCCTTTGCCATCATCAGGCCTGTGCCTTGTTCATGGCTGGAGAGGCCCAAGCCTCAAGGCACCAAAAATTTGTAAAAATTAGGGGGCCATTTTTTTGTACATTCCTATTATACTCATGTATTTCTAACTCGTCCACTCAAGCCCCCGTCTCTGATTCAACCGAGCTTGTGAAGGAGACCCATTTGCAATTGAGCGATGGCAGTTGCGGTCTGCGAAAGAGGTGAAGCCGAAGGACTAAGCAAATTATTTTTGATTTTGTATTCGTTGGGCTTTATTTCATGGCTTATTTTTAGTAATTTTGCTATTTAGTTAATTTTTTGTATTTCTAGAATTTTCTTAACTTTGTATTTATTTATTAAATGCCTAAATTTTAATGTGATGTATAAATTGTAATTGAATTGTCATGTGTAAGTGCTAGTTGAATCTTTTTTTAAGGGATAAGGGTCAGATAGGGTCTCGAACTTGAAAATAAATGTCAAATAAGGCCATATTTAGGATGCTCTGTCCGGCCGACGCCATTTGGGGTGGTTCCCGGTGGAATTTTTTGATGAAATTTTTTGAGAATCTTATTCAATATGTCTAGTTTACTCATATCAAATTTGAACTAAAAATTTAATCGGGAAGGCATTCAAATGAATTCTTGAAGATAACTGTGCCGTTAAAAGCGCAATTATCTTCATGAATTCATTTGAATGCCTTTCCGATTGAATTGTTAGTTCAAATTTGATATGAGTAAACTAGACTTAATGAATAAGATTCTCAAAAACTTTCATCAAAAAATTCCACCGGGAACCACCCCAAATGGCGTCGGCCGGACAGAGCATCCTAAATATGGCCTTATTTGACATTTTTTTTCAAGTTCGAGGCCCTATCTGACCCTTATCCCTTTTTTTAATTTATCAATGTTGGAATTATGGAATTCTCAATTCATAATTAATCAGATTACATGCTTTGTATTTTGTAGAGAAAATTACTAGTATATATTATTGAGGATTCAACTAAATTATGTATTTATTTTATTTTTAGCACTATGCCTCCCAAATCTGTGTCTGGATCTCAACAGAGGAAGAAAATATCACGTTTGAATCATTAACTCAAAGTCAGGCCGGAAAATGATCTCGTTGACGATTCATGTGACAGTAGCAAGTGCAAAGAGAAGTTTCTCAAAGTTGAAGCTCATAAAAATTTTTACGTTCAATCATGTCCCCAAAAAGATTGAATGGATTAGCTGTGTTATCAATTTAGAAGGAATTTATTGATGACATAGATTATGCTGACTTGATTACTACTTTTGCATCTAAATTTTTTCAATAAATTGCTCTTAATTAGTTTTTTAATACATTGAATGTCATTTTGTTGTAATGTAAGACTTTTATTTAAGAATTGTTGTTTTTGTGATGTTTAATCATTCAATTTTTAATGAATCTATATGATAAACAAACCCTATGTATATGGTCCATTTTATGAAATTCGATTCAGGGTCGAGTTTAGGTAGGACCGGCACTGACGATCATGCTGGATCCTTGGTTGCAGCAGAAGGATTTCCCTTGAGTGGCTCTTTGACGACGGAGGTGGAGGTTTTTCATCATGCGGTGGAGTGGGCGGAAGGAATGAGATTGCCTAACAGGGGTGACCGATGTTTCCTATTTAAGGATTCTTGAGATGGGTTCTTCCTTGGGCCAGGGTAATGTGGGCTTAAGTTTTATTCTGGATTAGGCAAATAAAGCAGCTAAATCAGTTGCTAGGTTGGGTCTAGGTTCGGCTTTTATTTGGAGGTTAGGCTATTTGATTCCAAGAGAGCTGGAGGGTGTATTTAGGTTGGATACCTTATGGGGGTGTTTGGGAATTGGCCGATGGTTGTTGACTGTTAGCCGTTTGATAATAGCGGATTCTGTTAGCTGTTTTGATTAGCTTATTGTATTAGCAGTTTGTAAAATGGTGTTTGGTTAAATGGTTGTTTATCATTAGCTGATAAATCATTAATGAACTATAAAGGACATTATTAAATTTTTAGTTAACGTATTGGTATAACTACCTTAACCGTTTTGTATTTTTTTTTTGGATTATTATTGTTATTATTATAACATAAAAATGTCGGTAGATATTTTATAACAAAACTTCATGAACCTTCTTCAAATTCAAATGGACTTTCACCGTCATAAGACTAATTGGAGCTAAATTCAAGAAATAGCAGAAAAGAAACACTACCTATTTCATTACATACATGCATGCTCGATCTCTTCATTGATGTTTTTTTCAATGTAGCAAGATAATTAGGCAAGTGGGAACACTGGAATGGAGGCAGATACGTGAAAAAGGGACGTGGTCACGTGGGTATTTAAGGAATAAGTAAAAGATCAGAAACGGCTAATCATAAAACGCCATGATTCATAGTTTTTTTAAAAATTTGGCTGTTTGGGGTAAAAAGCCAAATGAAAAGCAAGTTAACTAAACATCTTATTAGCTGATATATCTGGTCAAAAAACTAAATATTAGTCAAATCAGCCAAAAAATGACTGATAGGCTCCTAACCAAACACCCGTATGTGTTTTGATTTTTTCTTGGGTTTTCAGTTCATCTGGCTATTTACGTATATGCCCATAAAAGTTAATTATTTAATTACATTTCACTTCTCAATTGGCAGTACAATACGACACATGGCTTTTTTGAAATTCAATTCCATACTGTTGGGTTAAGGGCCCAAGCCGAGGTCCGGCCCACTAACCCATTTTGCCAGACGGACGTCCAGTTAAAACACTAGGCCGCCCCACAGGCCCATGTTCCGTGAGGATGGACGAACGTCTGGGGTTGGGGGGTTCAGGCCCAGCGGGTCCTCCCGACGAACGTCAATGTAGGATAAGGAGCAGGGCCGCGGGCCACCAGGGATGACGACGAACGTCCCCATGACAGGCCTATAGTCATCGGAGGAGGCCCAGTCCACATGGTGAGTATCTATCAAGGCCAGGAGACGAACAGCCGGTATCTCCTGAGCGTCACTTGGGGGGATCCAGCTCACTTCCCGGGTGGACGAACGTCCCCACTGATTAGGCGGGAAGCCTAGATTCTGGCGGGAAGTGCATTTAATGATGAAGATTTGGTAGTTGGGGCACCAGCGGTCCACAGGCTGCCACGTCAGCGCAGCCACCTGCCCATTGGTGGGTATAAATAGTAGCATTTATTTCATTGTAAAGGGTTGGCAACTTTCTATTCTTAGCATCTAGCTATTGTATTCTTACTTGCAGCATTTCTACTGCCTTGTAAGACGAACGGCCGACGTGCCCTTTTTAGCAAGTAGATTGTACTTAGGGGAGTTATTACGAAGTTAATAATACCTATTTACATTGCCTGCTATTTCCTTTGTTTCCTGATCCATCTGATAGTTGTTGGGCTAGATATTCATACATTCACTCCACTCGAAATCTTTGGGCTTACGTGTTGGGTCCAAGGGTTGAAGGAACAAACCTCAACACTGGCGCCGTCTGTGGGAAACTGAGCAAAAAAGTTTCCAGAAACTCTCCCAAACAGCTACTAACTCTCCCTACAGCAAGCACGATGTCAGGAAGCAACAACCAGCGTGATCTCTCCGAGCGTCTGGAATCAAGCCGCCGGAATCGCGGCCAGAACTCGGAACTGTCCGCAACGATATGGACCTCCGGGGGAAACGGGGGCCTCACTGACCTCATTCCCCTTGAGGCCAGGCAGGATCCTCGCCTCATGCGGGAACTCGCTGACACCATGCGCCGTTTGGCAGACGAACGGGAGGCCCGAGAGCAGGTGTACTCGGCAAGCACCCAGCGAACGCCCCTCTCTCCCATTCGCCGCATGCAGTCGTACGATGATACGACGGGATCCAGCGACCACCGGCCCTCAGTCCATGAGCGGCTAGGCGGAGGTTCAGGCTCCCGTGAAACGGGAGGGCGGACCAGGGTCAGCATCGCTGCATCCAGAGCTCGCACGCCATCGATTCCCCGCCGAGTCTCGCGGGGAGACGAAACCCCAAGGTTCAACACCGTCTGACGACGTTTCCAACGGCGAGGTGCGCAGATCTTTAGGCGGCCGCACGAAGCTGTGACCGCTCAGCAGAACGCCGTCCCCGAAGCCGCGCCCCCTGTGTCCCCCGGAAGGGCCGCACAGGAGGCAAGGATGGAAGCGATGGAACGACAGATAGCCGAGATGAATAGACGGACGGACGTCGGCTCGGCCACACCCTCTTTCTCTCTCACATCACCCTTCACTCCACGGGTGATGAGCGT